ACTTGACCAGCAACTGTGGCTATGATAGAGAACTCTATTCACGATCAGAATCCACCTCAAACGGATTTTGAGGCGGAATGACAGACCTGACCAGCGCCAGGAGGGAGATAGCAATAAGGTCGCAGCAGCTGATCGGAACTATGAATGGGCTCTGAATTATAAACTGGAGCACCCCGTTTGCCAACGACACGACTTAGGATCATACGCGTCGAACAGACTACGAGTTTGCTCGATTGAGCGCCGCCGTATAGAACATCGTCGCGCCAGTATCAGTATCCTGCAAGAGTTGAGTCGGGAGAAAGATGACACCGAACGACGCACATCGAGTTGATGAGGACAGCGAAACCGAGTAAGCTGCCAACGACGTCGAACGTTTGATGCGCTAGATGATTTCGAACAAAAGTCAAGGTGTTATTCTCGTGCTGAGGCTTGGCCATGTCGATGCAGGGGGGGTACGGAACAGTAATTTTATTTTCAGCCACAGATTAAATGGCGGGGGCTCTTCGCGCATCTCCAGCGGAGTTCCGACTCTGTCTTGTACTGCGAGGGCAGAGCCAAGAAACAGACTGTGGGGCATGACTGTGGCACCGAGAATACCGACAGCTGAAAAGGCATTCTCAGATCAAAAATCGCACGCAAATCGAGGAAATATACCCAAGTATAGACCATTTGACGTGAACAGGTATTTCGAGGGAACAAATCCCAGAAATGCGTCGTCCCAATCTACATCGACTTTGACGATGATAATAACAAGACAGACCATCACCGCAAGAACCTGAAATATATGGAGATTCGCGACCGAGAAAAAAAATCCCTTACCATAGCTGCAATCAAGTACTCGAACATCTTCACTGGACTGGAACGTAGAGGATCTCGCAAAGCAAGTAACAAAACTACATCGAAGGCGGTAATCAAAACGGCGTGCCACAGCTGCAATCGGGGGAACAGTAGACATAAGGCGATGGCAGACCTGACGAGAATTGAATTATTGAAGAACAGGACTAGTGCGCAGAGGAGAACAGACCCAAGCAGTTCCGCGAGATCCGTCGATATGATGGCGATTTCGGAGAGCAGATACAACGGGTAAAGTCCCAGCCACCTGTACAGTCGTGTGTGTTTTGGGCGATTATACAACAGCACTCGGCAATGGGAAGCCAAGTCTAGTCCAGTGACGCATCCAAGACGGGTCGCTAGAACCTTGAGGGAGCAGAATCAGAGAAGGTGTGAAGAGACACCACGTTCCCGGCGCACTTGTAAAAATGCCGCAAACACCCCGCGAACAGAACAACAGTCAACAGCTTGAATCCTAGTTCCGAGCCCGCCTAAGCCCGCTCAGAATCTCCAAAATTTCAAGCTTAGACACTAAAACAAACTCGCCTGTAAATCTACTCCCCAGTTGCCAGGATCGAAGTACGCGACCGCGCAGATGACGCCGACGCCCGCATGCTTCCTCGCATGGAGTGCGACTGTCGACCCTACGCGCTTGAGGCGAGCGTGAAACGGGGGCTTGGTCATCGATGTTGAAACAGACAGGGCCGAGGGCTGGTTTCCGAGCGTGTTTCCGAGCGTGGTAGCGGTAGACGGTGCTGGCCTTCGGTATCAGTCATGTTGGTGGCCATGTGCGTGGATGGGGACCGTGAATGATTAAGGCCAAGGTGCATTTATACTGAGGAGCAGAACCGGTGGTTTGGGTAGACCCAGAAGAATGGATCGACTTGTGCATTGCGGAATGAGTCGGATGGCGTAATCCCGAGCCGCCGGCGCTCTTCAAACACTCTGTCCTCTTGGTCTTGTGCTGCAGCTGCAACACACGGCGTTGTGCAGATTGCTGCGGAAGTCGAGGAAAACGACGGGAAAGGAGCGTGGTCCCTGAAGCTTCCCCAGACCCACTGATGGGATCTATAAATATATTGTGACACGACATTGATGAAACAAAAGTAGAATCTGCTATAGTATGCAACACGGGAACTGAAATGTGTACCCTTCCTGCTTGCTTTTCATTCAACTCAAATCAGACCTCTTGCTGGAAAAGAATCGCGCGACCTTCTTCCATACGGTGCGTGGTGATCTGTCTCGGATGAAGACGTTGGAAAGCTTGCATAGACTTCTTCACTGCGGTGGCCAACAGGACGGATCCTATTCCATTGACCGAGCTCGCCGACCTGTTGCTCAGGAAGCGCTAGAACATTCAACGTGTCTTCCAGTCTTGCGCGGTGAGTGCTGCCTTGAGACCATCTCTTGCAGGCCGACCATTGGGCTTCGCAGTGGCGACAAGGCTTCGTGCTTAGGGGCAGCTCCAGATCTTGAATGTCCAGCCCAAAGCCAAATCCACAGTGGGCGCAGCGAGGGAGACTGGGTATACACAAGGTCATGTTGATGGAAGTAGCCAGAGCCTCTTCAGCGTTTAGCGGAGTAGGTAACACAGGTGATCTTGGAGGCTCAGGCGTGGGAAAGGTCAGAACGAGGGCTGGAAGAAACTCGGGCTCATCTCCACTGGCGCACGATGATCCGTCTGCTGCTTGTCAGACTACGATGAGCCAAAACAGAACGATCCAAACCTCGTAGATTACGAAACGAGGCCGTCTGAAGCACAAACGACCCACTCAGATTCATGTGTTCCAAGTTTCTGGAATCATCATCGTGCCGCTGGTCCGAGTTCTGAAACTTTATCAGATTTGAGATCACCAGATGTGGAAGGGCGTGCCTCGCCGTCCTCGTTGGAATCCACCATGAACGGATCAACTTGTGAGTCGACGTCATCCAAGCTTGGAAAAGAAGGCAGATCCTCGATGATTGGAGATAATCCCGTTTCAAATGAAGGTCGTGAGCGAGGTCGATGATTCCGCGTTTGCGTGACCGCAGTTGAGCCGGCGCTGTCATGTTGATTACTATCTGCGGGAACGGGTTTCCGGGTAGGAGCCGTTCTTTCTTTAGCTGACTTGGAAGGCTTGCGATTTGATCAACACCCAATCAGCGATGAAAGGAAAGCCAACCCATCCAAATCGATTGACAAAAATTGTCGTGCCGTCACGCTTGCGCACAATTCTGATCGAGCTGGTTTTGTCTTTCAGGGATAGAAAGCTCGAACGGGCAGCCTGAATGACCACGTGAGCGACAGAAATGATAATCAAGAACCCATGTGAGTTCACCGCAGCAGACGTGTTCGACTTCTTTTTCTGCCCGGTCCAGGTGCTTGATCGGTGCACTATTTTTACCCCGAGTGAAAATTTGGAGTGTTTAACACTCTCAGATCGTAAAGAGGGAATTCGGGTCTGCCCATTCGTCAGTGCGTTCAAGTCCCTGGTGCATTCGAGCAAGGAACCTTAGAAGACCGCTGACAAGTCGTAAATAGCGGGCAGGGTTTCCTTTCTAAATTTCGCCTACCTTGGGCTTCGTCCTGGTCCGCTTCAAAGGTCGCAAAGAGTGAAATTCCGACTTCTCGGGGATATCCATGATGCTTGAACAGGAACAGATGTGAGAAGTCGCACCATTTTTGAAGACTCATCGACTGTAACATTTCTCGCTGTAGTCTAGTCGTGGCGTTAAACGATCAAGTATCGAAAGAGAGAATTCAAAGAGAGACTAACCCGGGATTTGCTGGGAAGCTCTCCCATCTAGCGGAAACGCGTATGAGTGAGAGTTATATCAGGCGGGCGGTATGTTTTCACCTCGGAAACGAGAACTGGGATGGCTTGTTTCTGCAAATTTGCGTCACGCACGCAACGAGATTGAATGACATTAGTTTCACCTCTTTCGATCGGGATGACCTTCCAACCTGAACAGGTTATGAGGTGCATAACTGGCAGCTGACTAGTAAATATACCAGAGTTGCCAACGGCTGAATCTTGACGGTAGACAAGGACTGCGCCTGATACACTATGAGTGAGGAGCTATTGTGTGACTCTTGCGGACTGCTGACCGGCGTGTCGCGAAAGCTAGGTTCCTATGCTCACAACATAAGTTCGCGGACGGCGCTGAAACATGGACTGACCCTTCTATGGGGAGATGGCTAAGTCCCAGAGTTGATCAATCAGAAACTTGAGATTAAACTGTTCAATCATCAGAAGTTAAGGACATGAGCCGTGAGCCAAGCCAGACAAGCTCACCACAAGAACATGCCTTCAGCAAACGTTGGTTCTAGACTTGGTATGAAGGACAACGTGCGAGAGCCATAGATGTAAGGCACGGACCGATCGTGAGCAAGGGAGATTGAGCGGGTCTGTACTTGTAGAGGGCTAGATCTTCCATGAGAGCGGTAAAGAAACGGCGAGCAAGCAAAGCCGCACCTGCGAGGCTGATCGGCTTTTGGAGTGGCATGCACAGTGGCACGAGTTATTCGGACGGTGAGGAGTGCTTGTCGCCTGAGGTTGACGCTGCGAGGAAGACCAAGAGGTGATGGAGTTTCCACTGGGATCTGGGCCAAGGTCAGCTTTTAGAGGCCGTCTCATATTCAAGGCGTGGTATGCACGAACATGAAGATAGGTTCTTAGAGGAGTTTCGATCTCTCATAGAGAAGTTATGAACCGGGTCGGGGTCTGAGGGTGGGATTGTGAAGGTCTGCCATGCCTTGTTCATTAGATGCAATATAGGATACGCGACCTCCATACAGGTTTGGGCTTGACCACAGCTGTTAGAAATCGAAGCGTGTTTTCCAGCATGGCGAGTTCGTCGTTGATAAAATATGATGGCAAGTTGCCACGGCGCGATCCGACGCGACTGTGAGGAGCGAGAACGCGTTGTATTTGTGGGTATTTGGTGTGCACTACTCCCGGACACAGCCACCGGTGCGCGTTCACTCCCTGTGCCCTTTGCGACCCGATTCCAGTCTTCTCTATCGGAGTCCGCGTATTCCTGACTGAACTGCCGTAATTGGAATTCTGGGCGGCCATGGATGACGATGATGCCGACTACATGCAAGGAAGCGATGATGAAGTACAGATACCGTGTCTGCGATCGACCAACCCGTTCTTATGTATCCGTAGGACTACGGCTTCGACTACTCTGACGGTGACGACGCAGAAGATTCAGGAAGTGCCGATGTTGAAAATATGTATTACAAGGCGAAGTGTGCGTCGATCGTATCGTAGCGCTCATTCTGCATGTTGACCGGGGTGGATACACAGCCAAGAAGGACGACAATCCGGAGGAAGCTTTGAAAGATTTCAAGGCGATAGTTGACCAGGAGACTGAGAAGGGCGATTGGTGAAGGCTCAAGCGTTGTGCTGTGTTTCTGATGCTCACACTCTGCGTGTGCAGGGGTTTTAAAGCATTGAAACAATCCACCAAGCTATTGTTCCTGGTCCTCAAGCGTCCGCATGATGCACTCAAGACGTATACTCAGCTTTTGACTTACACGAAATCTGCGGTGACGCGAAATTACTCGGAGAAATCCATCAATGGTATCCTGGACTACGTTGGCGGTGGCAAAGGCGGACAAGTCGATGTCGATGTTTTGGAGCAATTCTATCAAGTCACGAAAGTGTCTTTGGAAGATGCTAAGAATGACGTACGTTTGTTGCTTACCGGCCGAGTATGCCTTCGCTCACAACGGTTCTAGCGACTTTCCGCCAAGACTAATCTGAAGCTTGCGAAGCTGTGGCTAGACCGCAAAGAATTCACTCGCCTTTCCAAGGTTTGACCACTTCTTCTTGCATATTTGTCGAGGTCTCAATGCAGCCAGATCATCCGTGACCTCCACCGTGCTACTGAGCAAGATGGGGAGAATGACGAAACCCAATCTCAGCACGGCACACAGCTTCTCGAAATCTATGCCCTCGAGATTCAGATGTACAACGAGATGAGGAACTTCAAGAAGCTCAAGGTGGGTAGCTGATCAACAGTCTTTGTCAAGTTACTTGAAAGCTCGCAGGAAATCTATAACGCAACTAATGCTGTCCGCTCTGCCATTCCACATCCTCGAATCATGGGTGTCATCAAGGAGTGTGGCGGCAAGATGTGGATGGGAGAACGTGAGTCTCTGGCGATATTATTGAGGTGGGTGAATACGAACCTGTCTAGGCCAATGGAATCGCGCCTCTGAAGATTTCTTTGAATCCTTCCGCAACTACGATGAAGCTGGGTCCCCTCAACGCATTCAAGTCTTGAAGTATCTCGTTCTCGCGAACATGTTGACCGGAAGTGAGGTCAATCCGTTCGACAGTCAAGAAACCAAACCGTTGGTCTTATAAATCGCATTCAAAAGAACCTACTTAATAGGAGCTTCTGCAGATACAAGACGGACCCACAAATTAAAGCCATGACCGATCTCGTTGACGCATATCAACGTCGGGAAGTTCATTCCGCCGAGAAGATTCTCAAAGGTGCGAGTTTCATGGCCAACGACCTCAGAGCACTCAACCGTCAAAGACAACCGTTCGACAATCATGGACGACGCTTTCATTCGGGCATACATCGGCGAACTGCTTCGCAGTCTCAGAACCCAGTACCTGATCGACTTGATCAAACCTTACACTAGACTGGAGCTTTCCTTCCTAGCCAAGGTTCGTCGGTTACTCAAATTGAGCACGGCGTTTCTCATGCCTTGACAGCAACTGAATGTTGATATCACCGAGGTCGAGGAGTTGCTCATCGGTCTGATTCTGGAAGGTAAGGTGGAGGGAAGAATCGATCAGGTCGGAATGCGACTGGAGCTAGATCGTAAGCAGAGCCTGGAGAAGAAACGCTACGCCGCTTTGAATAAGTGGACGGAGGCTCTGGAGAATGTGCACACGGCTGTGGTCGGGAAGACAGCGCCCAGCTCACGCTCAGTGATGAGTGGCATCACGGGCGGCGACTTGAGTGAATTTGTTCCTCGAGACGATAGGTGGATGTTATGAATGTGCATGCATTGTCTGTCAACTGCCTTGCGCATGAATCTACTCGAACTGTGTATTTTATACTGCCATGCCATTTGTACACTTCAGCCCGAGCAAGTTCGATCACGAGAGAGCACATACACTAGAAAGGTCGGTCCATGGGTTTCCAGTCATAGTTCCAGCCTGTTTTTGAGGGCGTCTCGCTGGGAATCTTGAGCTCGCGGGGGAAAAGACCACGTATTCTGGCGTCATAAGCTCGGCCTTCCAAAGCAGGCATGGTCTTGAGCGTGTCCATCTCCTTCTGGGACCTCCTCCTAGGATCCTCGACCTTGTTGGCTTCGCTGTAGGACTTGGGGTCCACCTTCCGCAGCTCCTCCATGGCAAGTTTCATGCTATTATATTTGCGCGTGATCTCCTCCTCTCTGCGTTTGCGCAGGTGGCGCTTGTGGAGCAGCCAGGCGCGCTCGATAGTATCATGTGCTTGGACCGAGGGTATGGCGCGTTGAAGGGTCTGGCGCACGTCCGGGCGCCATGTTCCTATTGGGGTGGCCTTGTTTCGGATGTTGGCGGGGTAGAGAGTCCGTCGGATGAGGGAAATCCGAGGGTCACCCGCAGCGGCCTCTGCAGGTCGTGCGTACTGGCGGACTTGGGAAGGGACGAGAGAGCCCGAGCGCGGTTTACAGGATGAGAGAAGGGTGAAGGACATGTCGAAAAAATCGCGTGGCTGTGTCGCCATCATCAGCTCTTTCCCCACCCCGCCATGCCGCGAGACGCCCGTTCACGGCGTTCCCGTACGCGATCTCGTTCGCGCTCTCCCGATGCATCGGAGGAAGAAGAGATTCGGTTCGCGTTTCCCATTCTTGATTAAATGCACAATGCTAAACTTGCAATCCAGCTTACCACACAATGCATCCGGTGCGCGCCCTTGGACAAAACTACCCACGCATCCTCTTATAATCACATTTAGCTATCTCTGAATCCGACTACTTCCGTAAGGGGGACGAATTCAGGGTGTGGCTTAGGTCTGAGAAGAGGAAGGTATGGAGCCCACATGCGGCCAAGCCCGACTCGAATCTGAATATCACCGATTACTCAGCATTTCGATGAACTTTCCAGCGACAGAGCACGGAGGTCAGTCCAGTCGCTCTTCCTCTGCAGGGCCCTGAAATATGGAGCGCAGCTACTTTCGCAAGTTTGTCAGGGTAACATTTCGTCTGTTATTTCTCTCCAGTTGTGTTGATTAGACACCAGGCTTGGAACAAGGGCAAACTATCAAGTAGGTTACCAACTTCAATCTAGGCACCTCAAATAACCCTCTGTCAAACGCACAGGCTCGCTCTACACTGGCGTAGATGCGACTAGTGTGACCGAGGCACAGACGAGTTATAAATGGTCATTTGCGTCGAAGCGCTCGCGTGCAGATGACGATGCACTCCGTGCTGTGCGTCAAGAAGTGGGGGCCGCAACAGATGGCCGCGAATCTGCTACTAATTCAGCGCCTGGGTCAAGCCGCGTCCGGGGACCCACGCTCCCATCGTCCGCCGACCTCGTTTACGCTCGCGAACTAGAACGCGAGAATGATGATCGGGATCGCGGTCTGAAGCGAAAGCGGGATCGAGCAGACGCCAAGGACCGGGTCGAAGACATGGTAGGCCCGAAAGAAGTTGGGCGGGAAGGCATGCTGGAAAAGAAACGGGCGAAACGAGAATCTGATCGAGCGTTCCGTGATAAAGCTGATGAGGGATTGGAGGCAGACGAATCGGTTCTGATTGGCAGCGGCGACAGTTTCAAAGACCAGTACGTCACGCCACAGTTCCTCTCGATCCTTGCCCAACAGATGTCCTGACTTCCCACAGAATTGCTCGCCGAGATGCCGCACGTAAACGGCACGAAGCAGCCCGGGAAGAGAAGATATCAGCTTCACGAGAACGAACTCAAGCTTTGAGGGACAGGGAAGACAAAACGATGGCCATGTTCCAAGCCCTTGCGAAGCAGCGATATGGTTGAGATGGTATGGTGTGGTATTACATGGTATGGCATGACAAGACACATGTGTGATAGTACGAACGCGAGATATGCGGCGCATAGAATGGTGGCACGATGTCGTACAGGTTTGCTATTCCTATCGTCCCCATGCACGATCTTCAGGATCCAGCATCTCAGGCTACCCGCAGCAGTCAGCTGGCCGTCATTGGCAACGCCCGTAAATCATCACGTACTTCTCGCCCCCTGGGATTGCTTGCAGGCGCCTTTCGTTTCCCCAGAGTCAGGAATCTGAGCGTCGACTTGGATGAATTTCGTGCTGGTGTGTACGGTGGTGGTGGTGCTACAGCCTGGGAGTATTTTGGTCAATAGATGCTTGTCAGACGTCTATTATTACCATCCTACGGACCTGGCTGCTGAGTTTTTGAGAGTACTGCGGAGGGCAATCGAATTGGGACTGGGGGTGACAGTCAGTGACCGGGGGGACGGGGGGAGATTGAGGTTCGTACCATGTTCAAGTTCCGGTGCGAGAGAAGGTGGAGACGCCTTAGCCCAGTGGACCTTATATACATATCCTCAGACACATTTTAGGTCAGGTGGGGTTTGGCCGCCCAACAATGATTGACCGGGCCTGAATGCTCTTACGCAAGACATTACGGGGCGATGTCGGACTTGCGTCGGCCGCAGATTCAACGGAGCAGAACTATATTGGTAGATGCCGCCAATGATCCCCGTCATTGCCCCGCAAACAACAGCTAACGACCGCAGAGACTCTCCAGAACAAGCTAACAGGCTCCCATGCACAGCATGGCTAATCAACGGCACATGACTGGTCGAAAGCGGGCCGAGGCATTTAAAAACAAGCGATTACACCGAAAGCAGACACAGCTATTACAATATCACGCTCACAGGGAGCAGGCGGTTCTTCACATGAGCGATCCTAGTCGGTAATCATCTCATCTCCGGCTGACGGGTTTGTCCCGATCTCCTCGAAGACGAGCGAACCTTGTTGCTCCTTCAGCCATTGCACGCTCCGCTTCTCGTCCATGAAGTATTTGTATGCCTTCCGCAGGTCCTCGACGTCGACCTCCGTCGCTTTCCGCTTCCGGGCAACAATCTGCGCGCAGGAGATCAGGTTGAGAGCATAGCGCAGCGTGGTTTCCAGAGCCATCTGGGTCAGAACGCCTGTCGCATCGGCAGTGAGCACAACATCTTCTTCCTGACATCGAATCTGGATGATCTGGGCAATGTCCTCTTCCACGTATGGCTTCGTGCTGACGATGAGTACCCGGTCGAGCAGATCCACTGGGAGTCCGTGGGGAGAGCGGAACTTGGTTCCCCGGATGCGGGCCATCCCCCGATTGGAGGCCATGATGACAAGAGGAGATAGCTCATTCTCCAACGCACGGTTGAGGAATGAAAAGCATTCAATGTCCAACATGTGCACCTCGTCAATGAATAGAACCTATCACTGCATCAGTTCCACCCTCTTGAACCAGATTAGGCATCATACCCCGGGTATTATCTCCGCTTTCCCTTCCTCTCGCCAGTCGGCAACTTTTGAATTGATTTGATTCCGCAGCTCTGGCTTGATCTCCCCGGTATCTCCAGCGAACAGAGCCAGGAAACCTTGCGTTCTGCTGTTGATGACGTCGATCTCATGCAGAGACACGGTGTGCACCACCTCTTTGCGCTTTTGGATCTCCCCCTCCGGACATTGCACAAATTTCGTCTGCCAAATGATGCGTCTCCGAGCTGTTCGCAGAAAGTCGCAAATACACTCACATCCGCGCCCATAGCATCATAATCTCTGGACCGCGCGAACGATCGCCCCAGTTTAGTGACTTTACCGGACGTCTTGTCTATAGCAATCACATCTCCGGCAAGAACCTTCTCCTTCGAAAGCGCGTCTATCATCTTGGTTCCAAGATCGTAGATGGTCTCCATGTCCGTGGTTTTGATCGTCAATTTCCCTGTTTTCGTAGCCTGCGGTAGAGCATCACATTTGGGCATACACCGCGGAAAAGCGTGTGCAAACCCACCCCAGTCAAGCTCCTATCAATCTGGATCTCAACCACCTCGCCCTCAATCAGTTCCGTCTCTTCTTTAATTCGCACCCCGATGCTCCTCCGGAAGGCTTGCGTAAGGGCTTCTGTTTTCGACATGGACAGTGAGAACACTTCGCTGGCCGCGATCATCGTGAAAGGCACATCGGGGCCTAGTGTCTGGGCCATGCCTGAAATACACTGAGCTTCGAACACGAAAACCTAGACCATCCTAGTATGCACCTAGAGCAATGGCCGTTTTGCCTGTGGACGGGGGCCCCGCAAAAAGCATGGCGCGACCTGCTATCCGTCCCTCTTGCACCATCTTGAGAATCATCCCGGCGGCTTTTCGCGCCTTCGCTTGCCCAACCATTCCCTGAGAGTTGGCGCGCGGTTCTAATCGGTCGTCCAGACCCAGTCCGCGAATATGAGAATGCGCGCCTGGAGGAAGACAAGGATCAGTTCGTTTCCTTGAGCAAAAAAACGTGGGCAAGTCGTACCGATGCGCTCCATTTTAGTTATATCGCGCAACTCGGACGTGCCTGTAGTAATTTGCATCGCCTGACAGAATGCAGTGAGACTTCAGCGAATTGCTTGCACGATCCTGGAACATGCCATTGTTGGTAATTTATCGCGTCTGGTGAGCTGGCTTCAAATGCAATAGTCCGCAATGACGGCGTTTCAAGCACGAGCCCGAGGCCAAGCGCGTCGCGTCGGTGTTCAAAACAAGGGACGAAAAGGGACAAGTCACCGCTCGTGATCGGAACAAACAGATGATCGTGGGCGCCGCAGGTTATCCTCTGACACCGATGAAGATATCCTCTACCCTATCCTTTCGATCCAGACTCATGGCTTATTCCCTTCAACTCTACCGTCGTCGTCCCATCATCCCAGTTCAAGCTGTTTTCCTGTGTTGATCGTCTTCTATCCACCTGATGCTGATGAGTACGCTTGCCGACCGAGTCTCACACTCAAAGCTCTCGCTATGGCCACAACTGGTACGCGCCATGCACCAATATGCTCTAATCCACTCAGAAAATATCCAGAGACCGTCAAGCAGCGTGACGATGATCCCTTCGAGAATATGTGGACCATGTACCTCACTCAGGCGGAGAAGCACAACAAAGTACTGTTGGAGTGCTGGAGATCTGACATGAGCTCAATCTTGATTTTTGTGAGCTTTTGTCGCAGAATTATGGTCGCAGGGATCCTAACGGCTTGCCAGGCTGGTCTCTTCTCGGGAAGCCTTACCACGTTCTTGATACAGAGTTATCAATCGCTTGCTGGGCCGCCTCCCGATCCTAGCGAAACCACTATCAATCTCGCTCTGCAGCTTTCCAAGATCATCCTCACCCAGTCTGGATCCAATGTAACGTTCCCGGCGCTTTCACTTCCTGTGCAAACTGCCACCCCATTCGTTCCTCCCACGTCTGCACTCATCTGCAACACCTTGTGGTTCCTGAGTCTGGCGTTCAGTCTCACATGTGCGCTGTTTGCCACGCTGGTCGACCAATGGGTTCGCAACTATGTCCTCGCGACAGAAAGCCTGCCTTCGCTGAGCAAACGAGCGCGGATATCAGCATATCTTCACCGCGGGCTGCGCACTTTCTACCTGAATGTCATGGTCGACCTCATCCCCACATTACTGCACATATCTCTGCTCTTGTTCTTCGCTGGTCTCGTCTTCTTCCTGTACCCCGTCAACGCATGGCTGAGCAACCTCATGCTGAGTGTCCTGGTCATCTGCACATGTTTATACGCGCTGCTTACCTTCCTTCCGCTGTTCTACACCAATTGCCCGTATCACACGCCGCTGTCCAACGGCTGGTGGCGGATCCTGCGCGCTGTGGGCGTCGTTGGGCATGCCCAATATGACGTAAACATACCCAAGGTCGAGACGATGGCAGAAGCTCGCATAGCAGATGCGATCACCACCACACCCGAGCGGGACCAGAGGGATCTGGAGGCTATGGAATGGGCTCTGGCAGTGTCCAGGGAGGACAGCGAACTGGAACCCTTCGTCGATTTCATTCCCCAGCTGGTTGCCGGCTTCGACTACAGCGCCAAGCTGTTGCTGCATCGTCTTTTGCACCACCAAAATCCGACCATCAGTCTCAGCTATCGCATTCCGAGATTTCTCAGCTCGTGCGGCGAAGTGCGAAGTCCCTCACTTGCGGAGAAACGTGCCACGACCTGCATCCATGCGATATGGTCGCTGACGATGATGACCGTGCCACTCTCTGTGCCCTTTGCAGACGAAATGCGTTCGGGGCTGCCCTTTGACGGCGAGACGCTCAACAGGCTGCATGGTATTCGCATGCAGCTGCCTGCGGTGAGCGGATCGGTGCACTCCGCAGCTGCGGTGATCGCACGCAACGTGCTCGATCTCCAGATGGACCGGGTAGCTGCGTTGGCTGCTGAGATATCCGAATTTCTACGCTCCGGACATTGGTCCCAACGCCGTCCGTCGCCGGAGGCTAATTCAGGATGGTACGACAGTCGGACCTCGCACGCCAAGAAGAAGGTCGAGGAGCATCTCATCAGTCTGGAGCAAACCACGGCTGCAGACAAGTGCACCCATCCGTTTATGTACATTCTCATCAACACCGTTCGACACGCGTTGGACGACCTGGCTGATGTCATATCTGTCACCGGCGACATTTCACTGGCTGAGGAAGCCATGGAGTATATCCAGCGCTTCCAGGAAATGCTGAGGCACATCGGGTTCCTCCTCATACTCAACTTCATCTCCATACTCGTCCGCAGCCCCACCCTGCCATTCGAAGCATTCAGCACGCTCCGGCGCCTTTTTCTGAAAGCGAACGTCGACTCTGACAAGTACCCGGTCCAGTCTCAGTCCCTACTGCTTACGTTGCTGGAGGAAGCCCTGGACCGGCATCCCAGTCGAGAAACGCGTCTCCCAGCGAGCATCATCAACCTGATTCTCGGACTCGCAGCTTCGGCCCTGGAAGACTCTGCGGTAGCCACCAAGGCCCACTCAAGCATCAGCCAGTACATCGATCTAGTTCCCCTGCCCCTCACTCACGACACAGCGATGAAGGCGCTCACCAAGTTCGATCAGTCGCTTCCACGGACTATGAAGGCCCATCCCGCCTCGGATCTGCTCCGGATGCACATTTATGCTAACACAAAGATCACTCCTGGGCGTTCAGTCAGTTGAAGCTGGGCCGTGTATATGACTTCAATACATGTAAAGTACTTATCCAATACGGCAGTCACGCAGAACTCAAATATGTCATATGTGATCAGTCCCATCATCATCCTTCTTATCTTATCTCCAGATATTACCTTTGTGGCACCGCAACGTCATTTGCAGTGCTATCCCCCCTTGCCCTCACCACTCATGTCGGCGCCGGAACCCAAAGCCAGTACACCCAACGCAGACTCCCCCGTGCCCGAGTCCGCCGCGTCCACCTTTCTCAAACGGATACCAACGCAGAAGATCGCGTCCCTCATCCGATTCAACACCACACGGCAGGAGAAACGCCCCGAGATCGTGTTCCCCCCGCCGTCGTGGTCTCTCGAAGAAGCGCTCGTCCGGGGCGAGTTCCCCGTCAAGAGTCGTGCTTCCAAACAGGATCGAGATGACGGGCAGGAGGACATCCCTGAGCCGGAGGAGATCGCTCGGGAGATCGGCTCCCTCATAGATGCCTTGCCGCCTCCCCGGGAGCTGCCTGCTGAGTCCGCACCGACCCAAAAGCCAGAAACTCAACTAGACCCCAGCGGGCCCCCACTTCCCCCGACCCTGACGTCGGATAGCCGGCTGATGAGGCTCCTGAGCTCAGAGCGGGTGATGAACGGGTCACTTTCGCTCGGGAGGCAGAGCGTGTGGTCCATGCTCGAGCAGCTGAAACAGCGATCGAGCGCCCTGTACTCTTCCGCGTCTCTGCGGGGCAAAGGCAAGGCGAAGGAGGGGCCCGAGGCGGAGGAGCATGTCCGAGAGGACGGGGGCGTAATGATGTACGCCCCGCTGGAGCCGACCCCCGAGTCCGAGCTGGAATTGGCTGATTCGGAAACGGTGCTCGAGTATCTCGATTATCCGGCTGCTCATGAACCTGAACAAGTCGCGAAGGTTCCAGGGACTCCTGGGGAAATCAAAGATACTGAACAAGTCCCGGCTGAAGAGCCGAGCAAAGTCGAGCCCTCGAAGAGCCATCGGAAGCGTAAAACCGTCGAGCACGTCCACTGGGTTCCATCTACCACCAAGATATCGGTACAGGCTATGTGGTGCGTTGGCTCATCCCGTCTTCCAGCCATCTACTCACTGCGCCAAGGTGGGGATATCGCATGTATCTCCCTCCCCCGATCATGAAGAAGCTTGACAACAAGCACCTCGTCGCTACCAAACGAGCCGCAATGATCACAGCAGCCCTGAAATGGATGCTGGACAAGATCCCCATTGCGGTCGTACCTCCCCAGATCCGACCCGCCGCGCTCGTGCTGAAGCGGCTCGCACCTTATCTCGGGTACGTCGGTGTCTTCATCGCATGGAGCTGGAACTCGATCCAGCAGTCCGACAAAGGTTAGTCCTGTCCCAGTGGCCTTGAGGAGAGCTCACACATTAACGCTTGCTTTGCCAGGGGATGGGATAGTTCTGACTGCAACCTGGTTGCTGCCAGTTGCGCTGCTTCCAGCGCCTCTGAATCCCCAAGATTTCGTTCGTCCGAATGCGAAGGCTGCTGTTCCTGTGGATAGTAATGTACATTTGAAATCACGAGGGCTCTACACGCACCCTTTTCTCAATGGAAACTAGATCTGCTCGTCGATGACTTCCGTACAAACAATGGTCGATCACACCGCAAACTACGCCTCGTCTGTGGCGCCGCACGTGCCTCGATGCCGCTTGTTTTGGCTCCAGGCTCGACACCTTGGCTGCTTCGGAGCGGGTAGCAGGCACCTGAGTCTCCTCACCTCAGCCGACAAGATCCCCGGCGCTCGCTCACTGCCGCCACTATCTCACCTGGAGCTCGTGGTCCCAGGTGAGGAGGAAGGGATGGTCCATGCCGCGCTCTCTAAGCTTTCCAGAGGCATAAATCTGAGAAGGCTCGCGATGCAGTCTCTCGACGATGATGTTGAAGAGCCCGGAGATGTTGGAGGCGAAATGCATCAGTGTCACCAAGAACGAGCTATGATTCAAACATATACGAGGTAAGGCGTTGGATATGGACAGTACGCACCGATTAGTGGTAGTCGAGTGGTCCGCTCTTCAGATTGATCATGAAGATAGACTTGGTTCCGGCAGATCGGAGAAGCAACAAGAGTGACTGACCGTGGCGAGGAGGTCCTCATGAAGCGAGCTTGAGAGGAGAGATCAGCACATTAGGACGGAGCAGGATCGAGGAAACTCAAGACGTAGCCAGACATAGTACCATGCATGAGAAAGTCGAGGCGCCAGCGATGGTCGTAAATGTGAGAGCGAACATCTAACGAGTAGGTCTACCGTGCGAGACAGCGATCACTTGCAGTCCAAAACTCGGAAATTTGGACTGAAACAGCCCTCGTTGCACTACTGGACGTAAAGGCGAAGGTCCAGTGTTGATCGAATGGAGAGCGGACACATGCCAGCGCGATGATCACATTGACAGATACGCGGTCACGAGACCACATGACAAGGATAATCCGGTCCACGGGGTAGGGATGATCCAGAACATCGCATTCGGATACTGGAATGGCCACGGCCGTGGGTGCAGCGGGAATACGTGAAGCCTTTCCCCTTAATCTCAAGGCATCAATGCATGGCTGGAGCACCTTCGATTTCGATCAAAGATGGCGCAGAGCGAGTCACATATCTGGCAAGAGAAATCCTATGACCTAAAATCAAGTCATAACCTGAGAGAGAAGGGTGTCGCGAACACTGACTCAGGCATCAAAGTCGGGCACCTGCAAAAGTCCTGAACAATCCACACAATATCGATCTGGCCTTCACGCGGTTCCACGACGATACTCTGACACGGGGGCGCTTCTGTCATGCGCGCTTTATGCCTGAGGATGGCTGGAGTAATTATGTGCGGTTCCTGACCTCAGTCGCACGCATAAAACATGCACGTACAACACATAGTTGTGGACCTACAGTCTCGGTCCGGTACAGGCCCGCGTCATCCCATGCATGCACAATGCACGCTGTTCAGTGAAATTATGGCCAGATAGGGCATGAAACTGAGCTTGTGGATATTAGTGATATCCCATATTTTTGCAAAATCTTCGTGCTGCCAAGATCAGAGAAGCCGAGAATCGAAAACGACGCCGGCCATTCTCTTCATGTCTACCAGCCGATAACGTATTCAGGGTATCTCAAGAACAATTGGGAGTGCGGAAATAGGGCAGCACAAACCAGAGCCAAAATCCTGGACTATGTCAGCACTAACTGAATTTTCGCATCGCAAAGTCGGGGTCTTCCGAGAAACGCACTACACCATGCCAATTGAGTGGGAGTACGGTTACGGGGCGTTTCATGCGCGCTTTATGCCACAGGATGCCACGAGTAAGGCTGTATGGTCCCTGACTCGGTCCACATGCCTGAAACATGTGCATCATCCTGGACCCACAGTCGGTCCGGGCCGGTCTATCCCGTCCGGCGACCGTTACTTGTTGCGGAACTGACCATTCGACCGACCTCGGAGCGGGCGAACCGAACATTTCACCGGGAATCTAGTGGCATTAAATGTGCTATGAGAATCTTGGTGTCGAAGAGATCTAGAATGGGCTCAATAGCACCATCGTGAGCCTCGTGTAGAAGAGCATCATCTAAGGTACTGATCAGCTTCCTGCTCTACGTGGGAGAGAATGTAAAGCCTGAGTCTTGCCGGCGGCGATCTGCCTGCAGCATTTGGGGAGTGCTTTGCAGTGAGTCGTCTCACAGCTTCAGCATTGAGAATGTGCAATTCAGACTGTCATGATGTTACATAGCAGGTATCTAGATGGAGCTATTACAGCTATCTACCGTCCTAGAAGCGGTGAAAAACTCCCGCAATCGATCATCTAGCACAAATCGGGGTCGAATTGGGGGATCGAGGGCAGCAGGCGGCAATGCGGGTGCCCGCGTGATCAGTTTTTTGGCTTGCACCACGCTGTAGTAAGCATGCTCGAACACATTCAACGAGGACGGAGGTCGAAGGAGATGCCATCGGGTGAGAGAAGAGCAGAGCGATCTAAAGCACTCAACAACTTCGCCGATGGTAGGCCGGAGTTCAGGTTCCGCTCGAGTCATATCCTGAATCAGCGGTAACATGAACCGAAGCGAACTGGGGCAGTCAAACCTCTATCAGAAAGGCTCACCGGTCAGCACTCATTCAGTGCATAAGTGGCAATGACGCACCTCTGGAGCTGCATGAGAGTATTTCATGAAATCTTCTCGGATCATATTGCCCAAATAATAGATGTCAGTAGGAAATGGATTGCAAGGTTCTGGTGAAGAACCCGCGTGTTCAGGAGGAGTCTGGTCTGCGCCTCGGCGTACAGGCTCGAGGGGCGGGCCGTCGTCCAGTTTGTAGCGTCGGGAGAGACCGAAATCGATGATATAGTAGGAGGGCCAACATTTGGCGCGCCCAATTGTCACGGCTCCTCTTTCCATGGTCGGGCTCATCCAGTGCGCAACCGGATGAAACCCTTGCGGATACAATTTCGAGGGATCGACGACAAAATTGAGTAAAGCGCAGTCCCTGAGACACAGCGTCAGCGTGTCCAATCCGAAATGTCGCAAGCACATATTTCACCGGTGTGCCACAAAATTCTCGTGCATAAATTGCATACCCTGTCTACTGATGAGACAAGAGAATCGGGGGATCTTAAATGTGTCACCTCAAACAATTGACGGAAACAATCAACGACTTCTCCAATCGTTCTCCACGGTGCGTCGCAGAATACGACCATCCTGGCCATGACTACGATATCCTTGTCGTCGTCCAGGGGATCAGGAAAAATCTCGAAAATGGGAACACAGTGATTTTGCGGATTTTTTTGCAATTCAGGCGACGAAAAGAGACTCGCGATCTGAACTTCGTAGGGATGCCTGGCTCTGGAAGTCCACTTGAGCATGACTGCTTTCCCCGTCGAGATTTGCACCGCGTCCATAATTTGAGCTCGCTAGCATGCGTCGGCATAGCATCGCAGACTCTGAGAGCACATACTAACCAGGTGTCTGGCACGCGAATCGTCTCGCCAGTTGACCCGCAAGTCTACCTTGGTAGGCACGTGGTCTGGGTGGAATCTCGGTCGCAACCTGTAGCCTCTCGAATGGAAGAAGTGATAGCGCTCGATCCAGTACCAGTCCCATCGTATCTCATACTCGGACAGTTCGGATTTTTGAGGCATTAAGGTCTGAGAAACGGTGTTGGGGGTTTCAGTCAGGGTAGAACAGTGACGTGCTCAGTCATTTTGCACACACATGTTGTTGACACGTGACGGACAATTCGCGTGCCTCTCAAACGCGATTCACACCGTGTCACCGGTAGATCTTGTCCCCAGATCTCTCCAGTGTGCTCTTCGCGATAGTGCTGTAAATGGACACTGAGATCTCTCCCTACCCTAATCGGTCTTCGGGCCGCACGCTCACCGTCTCCTCGTGGACTCTACCGTCATAAAGGCCGCCTGAATCAGCTTTTGTGGATTCGCACAACATGCCTACTGCCGGCTCGTACGCAGGGAAGGGACTTGACTCTTTGAACACTTCTCTTGATCATGCTCAAGCCCATGGAACCCGCTGGGATGACGATGACCGTCAAAATTTCCTGGCCAACTATCTTGTGTAGGTCTCATATTCCCGCTCAAGTTGTGTTCGCCATTGAACCGATCTCTCTCTCTCTCTCAGCTCACGAGAGAATCGGGATAGATTACTCGAATACGGGATAAATCCGCTTTCTTTGGCTGATGCCGAAGCCAAAGGCCGCGCGCGTGCGTTTGCTGGTTATGCTGGAGAGACCGAAAGAAGCGCTCGGGTTAGTTCTCATGTCGTGCCCTCGTTTGGAGTGCTTTCCAATTCTTTATAGAGATCTTCGGATAATGCCAATGCACCCACACCCGTTTCCAGGGGTACGTACTTTTCTACTCCATATGAACAGCACTCAACTATCGATAGAGGAACCAATGTACGGCAATCCGACCACCTTCAAACTGTTTGGATACTCATGAGTATCTCACAGACCGTTGCAAAAGATGCAAAATGCAGTAGGCTTGGGTATCAAGTCCGTCTCGATTTGTCCAAGTTGTCTCTGAGTTGCATCCCTGATAGAATCTTTGCAGTAAGCGTGCCAAGAAGTTGGTTCGTACATCCATTTTGTCCAGCTTTTCTTCAATATTGTTTTCTTCAATATTGATTGATGAAATCCTGTTCAGAAAGAGCGAGAAAGCGACACTTTCGTTATCGACGTGCGTTCCAGACCATCCTGATTGTTTCAGGCAGGCTGATCGTCATCCTGTTGATAGGATACTGGAGCACTGGATCTACGTGTAACTTCCGTGGTAAGTACAGGTAATACCCGCTCGGTGGTGCAAGTTGACAATGCCTCTTAGAGTCTTGCTTCGTGCTTTGCGGTCCCAAATTCACAGATTACCCATCGGGCTCCAGGTGATACCGTTTCGCACCGGTCCTGCTATCGGGCCTCCCACTCCTCTCAGGCCTCAAGCCACAGCATCTAGTCAGGGTGGACAGGATCCTTTGTTTCTTGGTCAACAAGCTACGAACTCCGGCGACCGTCCACAGCCTCCTTCCTCTAGTTACGACCCACGACATTCGTCTACTCTAGGCCAACCTCCGCAGAGTTCTTCGTCTCGCCGGCCACAGCAGCAACATCAACCTCCGAATCCACGGTCTATTTTCAGCTTACAGCTTTCCGAACAACACGCTGATATACCTCTTAGCCAGTCCGGCCGGACCGATACGATATACTCCAGCGCCTCTCTTCCACCCTATTCGTTGACTGCACCGCAGGGACATGTTTCGCCGAATGTGATGCAACAAGGGCCTCCTCAGACGGTGCCCCACACTCAGCTGTACCCACCTGGTCCTGGACCTTCACCCGCGTCTGCACCTGCACCTAGTCCCGCTCATCCGCATGTCCAGGGTCCACCCTCGTCTCGATCCAATCGCCTTGCAGGACCACCGGTCGTTCAACCACAACGGAATAGTTCTCGCCGTCTTCACTCTGGCTCAGGTCGCAAGTGAGTCTTCGCATGATTCCATTCCATATCAAGTTGATTCAACGAATCACAGCCCTGGCGGGCCAGACAATGTCCAGCCTCAGCAGGTGCCGCAAACGTTTGTCATGGGTTCCTCTGTTTGCGATCTATCTCACCGTGCTATCAGTCTTCAGCAATATCATATCGCGAATCCGAATGAAGATGGTTCAGACTCTGCGACCGATCCAGGAAGGTTGTATATCTATAGCAATGCATCACGATTGAGCATTTATCCTTCTTGCCAGCACCCACCAGCCAAACGACCAGCCAAACGATCAGCCAAACGATCAGCCGACCGCTGACCAGCCAAGCGGCGACCGCCCAATCAGTGACCGTCGGGAGTCGACAGTC